GGACCGGGGCACGAACCCGTGTCCCCTGCATCGGCAGGCGGACTCTCAACCACTGCGCCACCAGGGAAGCCCCCAAGAGACTCTTTAATCCTCACATTCGACCACAGCCCTCCTTGCTTAAGACTCGGGTGCAGGGGTCTGTGTGCTCCCCAACCCCCTAACTGGGGACACTGCTCCATCAGCAGAAAAAATCCAGGGACTTCCCTGGCAGTCCAGTGGTTAGGACTCCACGCTTCCACTGCAGGGGGCCCGGGTTCGATCCCTGGTCGAGGAACTAAGATCCCGCAAGTTGCATGGTACAGCCAAAAAAAATTAAAACAAAAACTATATACACACACACACACACAAAAGCAGAAAAATCCAAGCCAGGCATAAGGCCCAAAGAGGGAAAGGGGCCCTTGGGCTGTGGAGCAGCTCCATGAGTGACTGGATCCCTTCTCTTGAGCCTGTACTGTCCCCATGGACCTTGTAAAAACACAAGGCATTTCTCTGATGCCTGCTGTGCACCAGGCTCCGTTCTAGGCACCAAGGAGACAGTGGTGAGCCTTGTGGGCAGGGCCCCGCCCTCCCAGTGTCTGCCACCATCGGGTTAGGGCTGAGCTTGACCTTTGGGAAAGAGACAGGAACTGGCCTGGCATTCACAGCTGGCCTTGTTGTTGCTAGGGCCTGGCCTGGCGATCACAGAATTTCACAGAACGCCCACATTGGACAAGGCCACTCTGTGACCGTGGTTGAACAAGACAAAACAAGCCCACTCCATCATGGTGTCTGAACACAGACAAAACATGAACATTGTCCAAATCACAACAGCAACCAGACATTTCCTGGCTAATCTAAATGACTTCTGCGTCTTTGCCAATCGCTGCCTTAATCTTACTTCATTCCTTAGACTTTGTGATCAGAATTATTGTTTCTCTGTAAGAGTGTTACCTCTCCCCCTTGCTTCCTGACAGCATCCAGGATCTACACCCTCCTGGGTCCTCCTTTTCCCAGCAGGCAGGAGAAATGTATATTTGCATCAGCCTGGCTGGGCCAAAGCCCTCAGCAGAGCCCTGGGCTAGGGGGCAGGTAATGGGACCTCGACCCAGTGGACAAAACAACACTTTGCTTGAATTTAGTGAAAAGGAACCCACTGAGTACATAAGTCCTGGAGCTCAAATTCAAAGTACAGGGACGACAGACCAGAAGACTGTATTATAAACATTAAACCCGCCAAGAGACCAGATGTTAATTGTTGCAGACACCAGAAAAAAGTGATAGTTATGTGACACCATAGAGGTGTTGGCTAAGGCTACAATAGCAACCATGCTGCAATAGAAATGTATCAAAAATCGGTATGTTGTACACCTTAAACTCACACAGTGTTATGTCAACTATATGGAAAGGAAAGAAGAAAGAAAGAGAGAGAGGGAGAGAGGAAGGAAGGAGAGGGAGGGAGGGAGGGAGGGAGGAAGGAAGGAAGGGGAGATCCCATTCAGTAGGTGATTTAGGGCACCACGAACTGGGACAGGTTCACCACCCTCACATTTTTATTTCATCTGTTTGTTAGTTGTTGTTGTTGTTTTTTTTAAGAAATTGCTTTCTCCTTTAAAAACATTTTTCGTATTGTGGTAAAATATACATAAAACTGACCATTTTAAACATCTTTAATTGCTCAGTGGCATTAAGTACATTCACACTGTCGTGCAACCATCCCCACCATCCATCTCCAGAACTCTCTCATCTTCCCAAACTGAAACTCTGTCCCCATTAAGCATCAACTTCCCATCTCCCCGCCCCCGCTTCCCTGTCCTGATGTTTTTATATATTATTTTTATTTGTCGGGACATCTCAAAAAAAGGAAGTCAAACTTCCAACCGGTAAAAGAATCCAACACAGAGCAAAGCCCCGCTTACTGAAACCTCCCAGGAAGCACCTAAGACAAGCCCAAGTCTGATAGGTCCATAGAGTACGCCCTCCCCGCTGCAACAAGTAACAAGCTCTATGTGTTCAAATACCTGTGTGTTCCTGGTGGTCTTGGGGCTGGAGGTGGAGAGCACAGATGTCTCCATTGTCTACATTGCAGGTATACGAGCCCTGGAGTGGCATTAAGCGGTACAGTGACTCAGACAGTTTGGCCTACCCTGTGCAGAAGAGTGTTAGAAAGCAGACAAGGAGGAAAACCTGGGGAAATGGGGATAATGGACATCAGCGGCCTCTTACATCAAAGCCTCCACGCTGAAGTGGTTGCCACGTTAAAACCTTTGATATGTGTTTTCTAAAGAGATTGACATGAGCAAATAGCTGTGGGCTGAAGTGATCCAGGAGGGCCTCCCACAGGAGAAGAGGCTAAGCCAGGGGTGCTGGTGGCATCCAAGGGTCTGGTCTCTAAGGTGCAGAGAGGAGAGAGGGAAACACCTCAGCTCTGAGCAAAGACCAGAAAGTCGCAGTCGGCTAAGTGGGGTGCCGGGAGCCAGGAGCTAAAAGCCCAGAGAAATGAGTAGAAGGTGTGTAAACCTCAAACAGCTTGAGGACAGAAAGAACAGTCAGGACCTGGGACAACTGCAGAGGGCAGGAAAACCAGTGAGGGGGTGTGTGGCAGAGATGGGGCAGTGACCAGGGTTGGGCAGAGAGACGGAAGTGGGTTCCCAGACATGAAGGAGAAGAGAGCCATGGCCTCGACAACTGACTGAGCGTGAGGTGAGTGGGTTCCGGCAGCAAACTGTCAAATGCAGTGGTTAATTCTACAGCTCTTCCCGTTTCTCTGCACCAGCCTCAGGGCCTTTGCACCTGCTGTTTCTTCCGACCAGAATGCTCTTACGCCCAGATACCCAAATGCCCCGCTGCCCCTCTTCCCAGGTCTTTGCTCAACTATCATCTCAGTGATGCCTTCCCTGACCATTTAAAACTACAGCCCTTCCACCCGAAACCCCATCCTTCTACCCTGTGTGACTTTCTTCCCCACAACACTTATCAGCTTGTAACTGACTCTGCAAGTTATGTGATTACATTTATACATTATTGTTTGTCTCCTCTGGGCCCCGTTACCATCTCCACAAAAGCAAGGCTCTTGGTCTGTTAATGATGGACCCCCCTCTGGGGGCCTAGAACCGTGCCTGGCACACTATAAGTGCCATATGAGTGATGACTTATAGCTCTACTTTCCCTGGGGGCAGGCAGAGGGGCTACACCTGTTTCTTTTTTTTTTTTCTTTTTTCGGCCGTGCCAACCGGCTTGCGAGATCTCAGTTTCCTGACCAGGGATTGAACCCGAGCCCCACACTGAAAGCCCGGAGTCCTAACCACTAGGCCACCAGGGAATCCCCTACACCTGTTTCTTATGATATCCAGTGCCTGGCACAGAGAAAGGAGTAAAAGGCAGCACTGACCCCGCGGGCACCTGTACAGCCCCTTCTCCGCGCCCTCACAGGTGGCGCTGCGTCCCGCGATGGCCGCGGGAGCCCTCTTGCCGTGCCCAGTGCACTGGCTGGAATTCCTCAAGGCCTCGCACTTTGCGCTGGGGCCCGACCCGCGGCTGCACGCGGACGCCAAGCAGTCCGCGTCGCGCCGGGACTTTCCCGCCTACCGGAACGTTACCCGCGGGCCGCTGTGCCAGCCGCCGCCCCGCGCGTCCCTGTTCCAACAGGACGCGCGCTGGGCCGGCCAGAAGCCCCTGTCGGAGACGCACTGGCGTATGCGCCCCCGTCACCGCTGCTGTCAAGGGAGCGGGAGCGGGAACTGGCACGGGAGCGCACCCTCGCCATGCAGGCCAGCGACCTGCACGCGCACGCGGACTCCCGCGCCCGCACCGGCCTCTCCCCCGCGCGCGCCCACTGCGGCAGGCCAGCGCTTCCGGAGCGCGCCAGCGAGCGGATCCGCGGTGCGCGCCTCATCTTCGACAGCGACTCGGTGCCGTCCCGCGACCGAGCCAAGCTGCCCATCCCGCCCAGCGCGCACCAGGAGTTCTTCTCGCTCCACGTTTGCCCGAAGCTCCGCGAGCCCTCCTGCCACTTCGGTGAGCGCGCGCCCGGGCACCCTAGGCAATTTACCCAACACAATGGTTCTCATGGCGAGTGGGGATTCTGTGCCCAGCCCAGCGGACGTTTGGCAATGCCTGGGGATCATATTTTGGTCTTCACGACTGGGCGTGGGGGTGGGGGGTGGGGGAAAGGCGGTACCGTCAGGGAGCGGCTGGGGGCCAGGGAGGCTGCTAAACATCCTACCACGCACAGGAGAGCTTTCCACAGTAAAGAATTATCCAGACCCAAATGTCAATAGTGCAGAGGCTGAGACACACTGGAAGCTCCTTGAGCCTCAATTTCTGCATCCGCACAATGGGCATGTCTCCAGAATCTCTCCAGGGTGCTGTGCGGTGGCCCGAAGTCATGAAAGCTGGTTTGGGGTCAGACAAACCTGCTAAGTGTCCCCCACCACCACCCCAGCCCTGCGACCTTAGTAGTTTTGTGACTCTGAGCAAGTCGTCCTCTCCCAGCCTCAGTTCACTCACCTGCAAAGTGGGTGCAACAACAGGGCCCCACTTTATAGTCACTGGTGAAGCCGAAAGAGCCCCGAGTGCAGAATATGCCTGTCAAATACTGAGCACTCAACAAAGGGTCACTGTCATTCATATGATTTTCCAATTCTGTGATACAGAGGACCTTCTGGTAGACATCACTAGTCAGAGACCCTCCAAGCTGGGTTCACGGATTGTCAGTTGGCTTTGACTCCAGCTGGTTCTGAATTTCTATTATTTCTGGCAGGTTATTTGACCTCTCCGAGCTTCAAGGAGGCTTCAGGTGGGGGGCGGGGAATAATATCGGCCTCCCAAATGAGGTGCAAAGCACTTAACCTAGGTACTGGGCTCAAAACTTGGTAGCTATTCTTGTTGTCATTATTATTATTATTATTATTATTATTATTGGCCACACCGCGCGGCTTGCGGGATCTCAGTTCCCCGACCAGGGATTGAACCCGGGTCACAGCCGTGAAAGCCCAGAATCCTAACCACTAGGCCACCAAGGAACGCCCTTGTTCTCATTATTTTTTATTATTTTTGGAGTGGGAGCACAGGAGACAGGATGACAGCGCCTCCTACCAGAGACAGTTCCAGGCCCTTCCAGGCCCACTTGCCTTGACGTGTAAGAGGGTAAATTGAGGCTGGGCTGGTGCTGCTGGCGGGGGGGTTGGGGAGCAGAGGTGGGCGCTGGGTGGCCTTGCCCTTCCCACCCCTGTCCTCCCACAGGCCTCCTCTAGCACAGAACTGGGAGACTTCAAGACTGGCTATGGGCCCATGTGTGCAGAGCAGAAACAAGCCTACAGGCCCCAGGTTCTGCCCCCAGACAGGTACGAAGGAACTATGGCCTACTACTAAGATGGGGCAGACGGCTCTCAACGACACGTGGGATGTGTCACCTAAGGCTCTAGGGCCAGTGCTGTGCCTTTGAATTCTCCATCACCCACAGGCAAGACCCACTATTATGCCACACTTCCCACGATTAGCACCCCACAGCTCGGCCATTAGAAAGCCTGTCCCTCTTTCCTTCTTCCTGGGAGTTGCAAGGGCCCAGATCAGATGGGTCCTCCTTCTCCCACCTCCTCATCTGCAGGTATGACAAGGCCCAGGCCTCAGGCCACATCCACTGTGTGAATATTCGACCTGGAGATGGCCTCTTCCACGACAGGACCACCAAGGGTGAACACTTCTATGCCTGGGAGCCAGGTGAGAGCCTGCTGCCTGCCCCGCCCCTCGCTCCCCACAGCAGCCTCTCAGAGCTACTCAGGACCTACTCTGCCACTGGCAGAGCCTTTTGTTCTTCACCACGACCAGACTCCGGAGTCGCACATCCTGGAAGGAAATGGGTGCCCTGGTCCGGGCAGCCTCACCACCTCCACGCACTTCGTCCAGGGCCAGGTCGGCAGGAAGGGAAAGAAGGCAGCAGGGCTCTTCAGGGAAAAGGGCTTCCCAAGCAGAGTGAATAGTAGCAAGTGCAAAGGCCCTGAGGTGGGAGGGAGCTTGACGTGTGTGCAGGGATCTCCTGGATCTGTTTGTGTGAAGTAGGGCGAGTCGCTTAACCACTCCAGACCTCAGTGGCTCTGCCTGTAAACTGAGATTAACAGTACCAACTCCCAGCGCCATCACGGGGGACCCAGAGAGAGTGTGAGCCGTCCAAGGTCTCACAGCGCCCACTTCTGCCCTCCGTCCTGTCCATGGGACATCCCTGACACCGGCAGCTTCCCAGATGCCATGTGGTCCTACAGCCGCTGCCCGCGACCAAGTCACCCAGCCGCCACGTGCCTCATGAGAAATTGCAGAGTCACATAACCCTAGGGGAGCCGTCGCTGCTCGGACAGTTCTTCCAGACCTCCATGGGCACAGACTATTTACCCCCTGGGATGCAGAAGCCGCCTAAAGCGCTCAACCTCCACTTGCTGCAGAGCAACCTGCCCCAGGGCACAGGCGATGAGCGCGGCCCCACCTCGGAAGCCCCGCCCTTGGCACAGCTGTGGTCCCGCCCCCGGCCAATCCCACCCCGCCCCCTGCCCGAGTCTGGCTCCGCCTCCTGAAGGGCTAGATCCCACCCCATGAGCCAAGATTACCAACTCTGACCCTGAACAACCCCACTCCTTCGTGACCGTGACTCCCAACGCCCCCCCGACCCCGTCATGGCCCCACCGCTGCATGACTCCGCCCCTCTGGTCTGGCCCCGCCCCTCTCCATATCCGCCCTCTCCTGACTCTTAGCCCTCCTCTTCTGGGACACTCTGGCTCCGCCCCATGACCAGATAGCCTATTCTTCCTGCCCACCCCTCCCCCCCAGTCTACCCTTGCCCCGCCCCTGGCGTCCTCAGCCCTACCCTGGCTGCCGCATCCTCCCTGCCTCATAATCCATCCTCCTCCCCTGACAACTTCAGCACTACCCCAGGCGTTGCCCTTGAACCCTTACCCCATCCTTAGTCTCCCATGTCCCTTCCCCCTGGGCCCTGCCTTTCGTCCCTCAGCCCCTCAGCTCAGCCACCCCTCCCAAATCTCCAGAAACAGATTTTTTAACCATGAACCAGAAGATGCTGAAGCCACACAGAATAGCTCCAGCCTGCATGACTGAGGAGATGCTACAGTGGGTGAGGGAGGGGGAAGGGGTATCTCTCTAACCAGGTAACCCCTGAAATCAGTGTAGAGTTATCTCAGGAAAATTATAGCATCAACTCAGACTCAGAGTTACTGTCAAGTCCGCTCAGGGTCACTCTAGGGTCACCCCAGGCTCAGGGTCATCTTAATGTCATCCCAGCCCCAGGTCATCTCTAGCTCAGCCCCAGGGTCACGTCAGGGTCAGCTTCATATCACCAGCCACGGTTATACTCCAAGCCAAGGGTTAGCTCAGAGTCACCTAGGGTCAACCCAGCCCTGGGGTCATTCCAGGGGCCCACCTGCTTTCTCTCCAGCTTCTCATCCAGCTCCTGGGTCAGCCCAAGCTGGGGTTCCCTTTTGCCCACCTCCCCAGGACCCAATCATCAGCCACACTGCGCTGAGCCGTTCCCCACTCTTTGATGTTCCCAAGGTGGTGCGGGAACTACAGGGTGGCCAGGGTGGGCCAGCCATCCTCCAGACTGCCCTGCCAGGCTCCCCACCCTGACTCCACAGTGCAAGTATAGCCACTTGGAGCCCCCGCTGGGTAGACAGCTCTTCTACTCAACCCTAAACAAGGATGAGTTTGCTTTCAAGTACCAGGGCCCAGCAGTGCTGAGACGGGACGACCTCCAGGAGAGTCCTGTGCCCCTGGGCTCCCCTCGCCAGTGGGGCTGTGGGGCTGGGAAGGCGGACCCTCGGGCCCCCCAGACCCCTACCTACCCATGCCGCAGCCGGCAATAAACACCACTTTGGCAACATCCCACCACTTTCCATCAGTCAGCCATGAAAGAGGATAGGGTGCCTGTGGGGTTGGTGAGAGAACGTACAGGAGAGAACGACTCCATGGAGAAGCCCTGAACTTCCGCAGACCCTGGGTGTCATCCCACTCTGGGCAGGGAGGCCATCTCAGTTTGTGCAAAAGCTTGGTGGTCTGACGCTTGTATGGTGTTCAGGTGATACCACAAGTTCTTTCTTTCTTTCTTTTATTCTTTTTTTTTTTTTTTTTGGCTGTGCCACAGGGCTTGTAGGATCTTACTTCCTCAACCAGGGATTGAACCCAGGTCCACGTCAGTGAAAGCGCTGAGTCTTAACCACTGGACCGCTAGGGAATTCTCGCTGCCAAAAGTTCTGAATGGTGTGGGAGGATGGAGTTACAGTGTTGAACGGAGGCAGCGTGGTGAGAGGTTGAGAATGTAGGCTCCTGGGGCTGAATGGACAGAGTGAAAATCCTGACTCCTCCATGTCCTGGAAGGTAGTCTTGGGCAAGTCATTTGACCCCTCTGAGCCTCTATTTGCTCATCTGTAAAATGGAGATAAATAATAGCTCTCTCTCATTAGATTGTTATAAATGAGAACTGTACACACTGGTTAGTGTGCGTGGCTGGGGGTCAAGAAGGGAGAGCTTCCTTTCCAAGGATGAAGGTAAGGAGGGTGTAGGATGGAGCTCAATCATTGAGAGACTGGGTGAGGCTCAGAGGGGGCATGAAAGGGTGGACATGCAGAGAATGGCCCAGCAATGTCCCCTATTGTGAGCAGAGGCCGGAAGCTGAATGGTTGGTGCACTGGCTGGCTGGGCAGCTGGCCCCCAGATCACAGCTGGGTCATCAGGATGTGATCAGGCCCAAGGGGGTAGGTGTTCAGCCAGAGACAGAATGAAAAGGGTGGAAAGGAGGAGTATGGGGTGGAGCCTTGAAGCTGGTAAGTATGTCAAGGACATCAAGTATGTCAAGGACTAGTACCTTGGACAGCACCCCACCTTGAAAGTCTTGGGGTCTGATGAATCAGCACCAAGAAGCCAGATCTGTCTGGAACGATAAGATGGGCCTTGGTGGCCGTGCCTGGGCCCTGCCTCTGCAGGCTGTTGAGAATCTGGTTTCAGGGAATGAACACGGCTCCCTGACCCTGTAGACAGACCTTTAAAGACCAAGGCCCCCAATCCAATGGGCCGCTAAGAGCCAACCTCAAGCCTGGCCAGGAGCCCTTTCCCCATGGGCAGCAATTCTGTGAGACCAGCTTGTCACTTCCACAGGAAGGAGAGGAGTCCAGTTTTGGGTCCCACGGGGACAAGATGGACCTTTCGGCTGCAGTCATGGTATCCATGTTGACCATGAGAGGGTCTGCTAGAGGCAGAACAGCTCTTCTGCTTGCTTCCACTAATGATGTAGATGACACTCGTCTGAATCACCTCATGATAAAACAAGCTTTCTCAATCTCGGCACTATTGACATCCTGGATAGGATCATTCTTTGCGGTTGGAGGCTGTCTTGTGCACTGTAGGATGCTTGGCATCTTCCCTGAACTCTACCCACTACATGCCAGTAGCACATTCCTTCTCCCCCGCCCAGTTGTGACAACCAAAATTGTCTCCAGACATAGCCAAATGTCCCTTGGGGGAAAAAGTTGCCCCTGGTTGAGAACCACTGCAATAAACCCATCCTACAATGATTCCTAGGATAAAATTAGGCTCTCCTGGTAAAGTCGGTCTGCTTGTTGACCAGACTACATGTACAAAAAGCTTTCCCTTTTTGCCCTGCCTGCCAGGAAGCTCAGAAAGCTTGCTTTGATTCCATGTAGCTCCAGTTGCAGGGTTATGTGTACTCCTGCCTGGTTCTAGGAATGGTTTAAACAACCGAGACATCAGATGAGAAATAATGGGCAGGAGTTACAAGGAAGCAGATTTCAGCACAACTTGAAGCATTTTCTAACAATGGAACTGACCAGCCCCGGGATGGGTTGCCAGGAAAAAACAGAAACTTTACTCAAGATGTCTTCAGTACAGAAAGACACTACATTATGATGATTCTGGATGTATTCTATGGATTTATGTCTATCCCTCCTATATCCCACTTACCCCCCAGGAAAGGCATTTCATATGAACTACAAAAACTAAAAAGACTTATGAAATAAGATGAGTAAAGTAGGATTGAACATGGGAAAACAGATTAATTTTTAAAGGAAAACATTTTGTCAATGGTAATCATTGCTAAGCAGCAGACTTGTCTTTTTCTGTCCCTAGGCAAATGATTTCATGCTCTGACCCTCACTTTCCTCATCTGTAAAATGGGGATGGCAACAGTTCCTCCTTCATGGGGTGGTTACAAGGAGTAAGTAGAATGTGCGTGTACCATTCTTTTATATATATATAAATTTATTTATTTATTTTATTTTGGCTGCGTTGGGTCTTCGTTGCTGCGTGCAGGCTTTCTCTAGTTGCAGCGAGCTGGGGCTACTCTTCATTGCAGTGTGCAGGCTTCTCATTGCAGTGGCTTCTCTTGTGGAGCACGGGCTCTAGGCGCGTGGGCTTCAGTAGTTGTGGCTCGCGGGCTCTAGAGCACAGGCTCAGTAGTTGTGGCACATGGGCTTAGTTGCTCCATGGCATGTGGGATCTTCCTGGACCAGGGCTCAAACCCGTGTCCCCTGCATTGGCAGGCGGATTCTTAACCACTGCACCAACAGGGAAGCCCGCATATACCATTCTTAAAACAGGGCCTCGCACTTGGCTGCAGCTCAATAAACAGTGCCTAAATTTTGTTAATGTCTTGGGTATTTTTGTTGCAAGTGTCAGAAACCCAGCTGTATCTGCTCAAGCAGAAAGGGATTTTATTGACTTAGAAACAAGAAAGTCTGTAATTAGGTCTAACATCAAGCCTGCTAATTCCTCATCAGGCATGCTCTCTCCCTCACAGCCTCTCAGTCCAAGCAGTGGCAAAAAAACAAAAGCAAAAACAATACAAAACAAAACGCAAATCCTAATGATTAAAGCCCCAAAGGAAGGGGTGGAGGTCTTCCCCTCCACTCCTCACGTTAGAATTTAACAACCCTCTGGCCCATTTGAGTCACATGTCCAGCTGTGAACCAATCACTGTGCCCAGAGGGATGGAATGCTGTGATTGGATGCCTGGGTGATTTGGTTCTCCAAACCTCACCAGGATCTTGGAGTCTGGAGCCCAATCTTGCTGGATCCTGTCTCCTAGCAACAGACCTGTGCCTGCCCAGCCCCACAGCATCTATCTTGCCCCAGGTTACAATCTAGAGGGCAGAAAGACTCAGCCAATAGGCTCTTCCCAATGAGGGTAATTGTCCCTAATAGACAGGCAGTGTTCAGTGTTCAATGCTTGAAAGGCTGAGGCATTAAGAGCCCACAAGATCTCTGATAATCCCAATCTTATCTCCCCATCTCAGTACTAACTTCCTCTTTTAGCTTGGGGCAGAGAATTCAGCCCTAGCAATCTCACAAAATTGAGCAGGTGCTGGACTCTGCTTTAAGAAGGTGCTCATAGGGACTTCCCTGGTGGCACAGTGGTTAAGAATCCGCCTGCCAATGCAGGAGACACAGGTTTGAGCCCTGGTCCGGGAAGATCCCACATGCCGCGGAGCAACTAAGCCCATGCGCCACAACTACTGAGCCTGTGCTCTAGAGCCCGCAAGCCACAACTACTGAAGCCTGCACACCTAGAGCTTGTGCTCTGCAACAAGAGAAGCCACCGCAACAAGAGAAGCCACCGCAATGAGAAGCCCATGCACCGTGACAAAGCGTACTGCCCATGTGCAGCAGTAAAGACCCAGTGCAGCCAAATAAATAAATATAAATAAATGTATTAAAAAAGGAGCACATAGAGGTAGCTTGCGTCTATCGCGTAAGACCTTGCCAAAGACTTCATGAAAGCTCCCACATATTCCAACATCCTGATATGTTCCTCCAAAGCCGCTCGAGCCACAGTCTCAGGTGACACACAGAGTGCGAAGATAAAACGGGCAACGATTTAATCGGCTATTTTTCTTCAACATAACAGATTTCTGGTTTCCTGAGCAAGGCCCTTCTACAGGGCTGCCACATATATCTGGGGAGGTTGTGCACTGCACAAATCTTGAAGCCCTATTCACTTTATAATGAATATATATGTCAAGGTGGCTCTGGCCCTCTACTTTACCTTTGTTCAGCCAATTTCACGTTTTAAGTTATTTCCTTCAATACCTTTCCCTTTTCTGGAAATCATGTCTAAATTAGTCAAGACTGTCATGACTGCAAGAGACAGAAACCCACTAAACTAGCTCAAATACCCAGGAAATTTGTTGGCTGAAAAGACTGTGGGCTTCCGGCTTCAGGTATGGCTACGTCCAAGAGCTCAACCAATATAGCTAGAGCTGTCTCTCTGTCTCTCACCTCTACATCCTGGTATAGATTGGTTTCAGTCTGCAGACTGTTCTTCCAGACAACTGAGGAAGGTGGGTGCAGGCAGAAGGAAGCCTATAAACAGCTCATGATCCCAAGGCAAGAAAGAGATTCTCCAACTTCATGGCTTCGTCCCAGACCTCATTGTGGCCAGGGGGTGGGGTTCTTGGGTTGGTAAGTTTAGATCGCATGGTACTGGGGAGGGGGGGGCACGGGTTAGACACGGGTCCATCTGGAGTAGTGGAGGGGGCTCCACAAAGGGAAAGCAAGGTGCTGAGAGACATACTGGGCAGACTGAAATGACAGCTGTCATTACAAGTATTATTTGTAATGGGATCATCCAGCAGGATGAAGAAAAAGCAACATAATCCAATTGCAGTTTCAAGTCTCTCAGATCTGCTGCTGGCTTCTCCACAGAGAGCTGGAAAGCAGGTCTCGGGCCACAAGTTCAGCCCAGATCTAGAAGGTTCTGGAAGGAAGAGCGAAGTCTCCTGGAAGCCTGATTTGCATGCAAGGGTAGGTGTTGTCCCAATTCGCCAGTCAAACACCATCAGAAGCACACCTGTAGTCAAAAAAAATTTTTTTTGGCTTGCGCAGCAAGGATGATCCCATAGCAGGGAACCATGGGGCATCTCCAGAAGAGTTGGGGGACAGGAGGGCATCTTATAGGATTCAGGCTTGTGCTGGGTAATTTTAAGAAGAGGAGACTGGAAGCAGTTCTAGCCTGGTGCTGTCAGCAAGCAGGGAGCAGATCGGCGACTGGGACTGGGTCTTTTGGTGATTCTTATCTCAGAAGTGGGAGGATGGACATGCGGCAGTCATTGGGAAGAAGCCGCGGTCATCTGAGTTAGTTGCGGGGGGAGAGGAGGGGGTGTGTATTCATTTTTGTGGTTGCAGAGTGTCCTTGTGTCTATCTCGGCTCAGACGCGGTCACAGAGCGGCCTTGTGTGATCATTGTTTATATTCTGGGATCGTTGTTTATGTTCAGGGAAGAACATCTCACGGCCCAGCTGCCAGCTGCCGGGGCTGTATTTCACTCCCTCCTCACAGGGATCTGTGTCTCCAGGTAAAGTCTGCCCAGAGTGCTTCCCAGATCTGGTCTAGGCTTCAGAGGGAGCATCAGGCATGGGGAGTCCACCAGTGACAGCGGTGCGTGACCAGGGAAGAGAAGGAGGAAACACTCAGTATCCCCAACTCTTTTCCTTGGAGGAGGAGTCTTAGAGGGAAATGCTGGACTGAGCAAAGATACACAAGTTTGTAAATTCTCAGCGTCTTGACTATGCTGACGTGCGTGGCCAGTCTGCAAGACAGAGAGAGAATGTTCGGTGTTTCTTAAAACCAGAGCGAGTCAGAGACCTGGGCAGGAGGCAGAGACAGGGAGAGAGAAGAGGACAGAGACACAGAGGGACAGAGGCAGAAAAAGTGAGGGCAAGAGAGGCAAAGAGATTGAAATGGAGAGAGACATAGAAACAGAGGGACAGAGCGACAGAGAAGGAACAGAGAGAGAGAGAGGAAGAGGCGGAGAGGGGTCGAGAGCGGCTGAGAGACACGCAGAAGAGGAGAGGCCGCGGCGGGGACAGCGCGGGCGGGGCGCGGCGCAGACAAAGGCGCGGCCGCGCGGCCCGGTGGCCGGGCCGGGACAAAGGCTGGCCCGGGGGGAGGCGGGGGCAGCGATGGCGACGGCCGAGGCGGACGCGGGCGAACTACAAGTCCCAGCAGCTCCCGCTGCGGCCCTCGGCCGGCCCCTCTCGCTCCCTGGGAGCGCTTGGCGGGGCCGCAGGGCCGAGGGGGCCGCCGGCGGGGCTGGCGGGCGGGGGGCTT